AAGTTGGCGATGCACGGACAAGTCAAAGGACAGGCCAAGATTATACGCGGGATGGGTGGCGGCAAAGCGCCGCACCTTTTCGTACGTCGTGTTAAACCTGGCCAAACATTGTTGGCTGTTTTGAAAAAGACTCGGGGCCCAGCAGCCGGCATCGCCGTTGGCTAAAAACGGCGCCATCGCACGGCCCTGCCGGACGGCCAAGACGTCCAACTCCGCCGCGGACGCCGCGGACTCCGCGATAAAGCGCTCAACAAAAGGATGAAGGTCCTCCCCGGTGAAAATCAAGTCCGAATCTAATACAATCACCACATCTTGGGGGTCTAACCCGGTATTCGCGATCGCCCGTTCCGTGAAGTTGAACTTCGACAGGTAGCCTTTGTATTCCATCTGATAGCCTTCGACCACGACGGGAAAGCCGCTGAGGTAGGCGGAGCCTACCGAATAACAAAGCGGGTCGTCGATTTTATCACTCATGATGAAAATAATCACGCGAGGGCCGGTGGTGCGAACGAAAAGATCGGATATTTCATTTTGGGGAAGCACCAACGGGACAAAAGAAGTCCGGAGGGAATCTTTAGTGAAAAAGATGCAAAGAACTATCAAACATAAAACAATGAACCCAACGAGAAGTAATCGACGCAGGAGAGTCTTTAGAAATAATCGTTGCGATTTCTTTGATAGTAAGCTAATGGTTTTGTCATTTTGTCTTTTTAATTCTGAACTCATCACTTAAATTAAGCTTGAGTACCTATAAAATTGAAGTAAGATCTATTAGTTCTACACGAATTTCACAGAATCAAAAGGGGAAGAAGTAGAATGAAAATAGGAAGTAATCACTGTGTAGGTTTGAAAAGCTGGTAAAATGTGCCGTATACTAGCCACAGATTTTTTTTTTTTTGAGCCCCACTCAAGTCAAAATTATATCCAACATTAGAATTTTCCCACCGGATGTCATAAATATCATCCCTCACAAACCACGGGAACTCACAAAAGTTCAAATGGTTTGATGAGCCAAGGTGAGTTGTATGGATCACATGAAAAGCACTCAAAGTGTGCGTCATGATCGGCTCGCCTTGGGGATGTTCACCTCATTGAATCGAGGAGGGAGTGTCCAACTCAAATCCCTTATGCAAGTTCAGATTACAGCACGAGAGTCATGCGTTGCGTGGGGCTCATCGAACGAGCCCCTTTTCATTCGCCCCTCTCGACCTGCGTTCGAAACTCTGACAGAAATCTGGAATCCGCCGCGCTGCCTGGAAGAGAGTTCCTCTAGACCATATTGCAGAGTCCTCATAGTCATGGGGAAAATTTTCACGTTTGCGGATACTATGCGTGCTTCGATGATTGAGATCTACCGATATTTTTTCTTTAGTTAAACCGCGTCGGACAACTGATGGCAATTGAGATCCATGGCGGTCGAAGTTTTACAGATTACTTGTTCTGCTTTGGTGCATTTTCATCTATCCTACAGGTGGATGCAATCAGTACGCGAGTACTGACAAAATAATCAGTCGGATCACTTTTTTTTAACCGTATGGCAACCGGAGAAGCCCTGCGAAGTCTCCGACAACGAAATAGACAACTTTATGGGTGATGCTATGGGGAAGGCGCCTGCGCAATTTACGTTTTGCTTGCCTCTACAAGAACACATCGACGCTGCTCCAACACGCCGTGGCGATTTCCTAAATTGCCTTGAAATGATGGCGTTATGTTTGTTGGGAATAAAATCGGAAATCTCAAAACGATGAAGCCGTTGGATGGCTTGGGTTGAAAAAGATATAAATTGCCAATATTGGCCACACCCCTTCTTCGTTCTCAACAGAAGATTTACGTCGAAATAAATGCTAGAAGTAGTCATCCCTGTTGGATGCTCATTATTTCAAAAGAAACCTATACGTCCTATTACCTCCTTTTCCTACGCGTGTTTATGAACACAGTGGCCCTTTGGAGGGCTAATGACGAATGTGAAATGGTTTCAGCTCAACTTTGGGTTCTTTCAGGATCGATGTCTCGCTTTCAAATAATAGTTTCTATTACTAAACGCTGAACTTATCATTCACTAACGCTCACTTCGTGGTAAGATATTACTATATTCGGAAAGATGAATAACCTCAATGTAGCTTTCTTTTGATCTAACCTCTCTTTTGAGAAACCCAGTAAGTGGAGTTCACACCCTAATACAATTAATAGGATTCCATAACGATGGTTGTGGAATTAATTATCGTGGAGAAATATAAAAAACCTTTTTGGTGTGCGATGTAGATATGGTAAAAAAATGAGATAAATTAAGTGAGAACATATACTCGAAGGGAGATATTGTTGGATAGATTGGGTTACGCAGACTAGCATTTTCGAATTAAAAAAAAAAACTGTTGAGATGAAACGCGGTTTGGCTTTTTTTTTTGAGGGAGTAAAGGCATTTCAACAATGGTATTATATCAGAAAACTATTTTGTAATAAGATTTTATTCCCTAAGTGAGTATAAGTTTTGCGATGATAAGTATAAAACATTCGAGCTATTGAATGCATAAACTCTTGACAACACGATATCAAAATGAATAGAAAAACAAATATATTAGACCTAATTCTTCTATGTTCCTAAGCTAATCTTGGGAAGGGAGCCAGAACGTAGTTCACATATTAACCACTATTCAAAAAGGTAAAAGTACTAATCTATTTTGCGTTCATAAGCAAATCTTTGCTACGTTGTAGCTTACCTAAAACTTGAAAATAATGCTCTCAAGGTTTTCGCCACGGGCCTTGAGCTTCGAAACCTCTTTACGGTAAGTGTCTAGGTCCTTTCGTTCGACCTTTCGATTGGAAGCTGGGTTTTCAAAATTAAACTCATTAGCCATGATCGCCGGCGGGTAATTGTTCAAGTGGTGTAAGTGTGTTTGATAGGCGTCCGTGTGATAACCAAGATAATACAATCTGTATGCTGCAAATGTCACTACACAAGTCAGGAGAATATCCCCGACAAGGTAAAAACCTCTGTTTTCACTACTGATGCTTTCCTCACGAATGAGTTCGTGGTACCACTTTTCTTTAAAAGGTAGTTTTGCGGGCCAAGGCCAGTTACCATAACTAGGGCTGCCCTTCAAACGGAATAGGTTTCTTGAGAACATGAATACATAAAACTATGTAGGTTTCATGAAAAAAAATCGTTCAATGGTAATGAACAACATTTAGTCAAACAAAATGTATAAAAAAAAAGGAGAAAAATATGCAAAGTAGTATATTCACTGTTGTCGTAACAGCATAACTTTCTAAGGTCATATAGAAAGATATAAGCATACTGATAAAAGTAAGCACCTAATAATGTGAACAAAGGGCATACTCTTTTTTTTACTGGAACAAGAACTTGCCTCCCTTCAGATTCACTTTCTCCGACATTTAATTTACGTTTCCAAGATAGTTAACAAATCCCTTTAGATTAGATTTCATTCTACCTAAAATACGACAAAGAAGGTGAGACAAGAAACACATGTAACAATTAGATTTTAAAAAATAGTTAAAAAATAAGTTCCAAAAGAAACAAGGGGCGCATGCAGACATCAATAAAAAACGGATTAATTATATTAGGACAACAAAATAAAAATGATAGTTAATCCGTCATAATTAGGTAGAGGTCTCACACTTTTCTTTAGGCGTCTCCTTTCCTTCAACTTTATAATCTTGATTACTGCATCCCTGCTGTTTCTGTTGGTGCTCCTCATTAGCTTCAGTTTCATTGTCTTCACTTGATAGATCACCCTCTGATGGAATAATAGACTCATATTCTATCTTCCTCGCCTTGATTTTAGATAGACAATCATCGAAGTTGTCCAGAGAAAGTGGTGGCTCGAGTACGATCTTGTGGAAAAGCTCCACCATTTCCTTCGGATGGTGCACATGTTTCTTATCTGCTAGTTTATTTGTTTTATCACTTTTTTGTTGACGCTTCTGTTGCTTCTTGTCGGCTCGGCTCAGTGACGTATGAGAAGCCCACTTGCTCTCATTCAGCACTGTAAAGCCCTGAGGAGCGGCCTTTGCGGGATCAAAGTCCGCTGCGGCATTCCTTTTGGCCTCCTCCTCCTCCTCCTCGCGTATGATGCGCTTCTTCTCGTGAAGATATTGTATTAGGGTATCACACGTGCTGATCTCTATCTCGTGCTCATGCTGCCGTTTCCTTATAAGGGATTCCTTCCTTCGATTTTTTGCGGCATCGATTCGTTCTTGCTGGCGGCGTTTGCGCTCCTCGAACTCCGCCTGAAGCTTGGCGTTGTATTTCTCACGAGTCTCATTGCACCAAGCATTCCAGATGTCACTGACCTTGGTATGCTCGGCCCGAAGCTGGTTCATTTCCTCGTTAATGGTCTTGATGCAGGTGCGAATCTCGAGGCACTTTTTGTATATCTCACTGCGGGCCGCACCGGTCACTTGTGCCTCTTTGTTTTTCTCGCGCTTCACTTGGAGGTTCGTATCAAGTTCCCTGTTGAGCGTGCCAATACGCTGGTGAATTTCACGATATTCTTGATGCAGTAATGCCTCGCGCTCCTCGGTGTCTCGTATCGTCTCAGTAAGGGTTTGCACTTTAAAGAAGAGCCCTTTGGCATCCTCCAATTGTTGTAAACGCTTAAGTGCCTTCCTCTCAGCCTGAAGGCCTCCCCCGCTCGTTTCCATCTTGTGCATCACTTGTTCAATTGCTAGATCAATCTCCTTGGCATTTGAAAGCCCTCCAAGGTCTGCCTGAAGGGCCTTTAGCTCCCTGTTAGCGTCGCGGGACTGTTGCCTCAGCTTCGATATTTCTGTGTTCTTCCCAATACGGAGAGAGTTTTGAACACGCAGGTCTTCATCGATATCTGACAATCTCTGCCGAAGGAGTTTCCCCTCTTCATCCTCATCACCCTTTTTGCTATCCTCTATGGATTTTTGCAATTCGTTAAGCTCGTCATATAAATTTCTCTTTTTAGCGACCAATTCAGCCAACTTAGTACCAAATAACGCATTATCAGGTCGTAACGGAGCTCCCGGTGTTGACATCCACGGGGGCATGCGCTTTGGTTTCGAAAGGATATCTTGTTCAGTCATAGTTAAAATCGGACTTGAAATGTGTAGCTATTTTTTTTTGATCGGATCCAAACAACTATATATCAGTAATGATATTTCTACATGTTTATAGAGAAAGAGAGATCAATAGATAGATAAATATAATAATAAATAAATCGATAGATGTATCTATGCAATAAGTGTATAGCTGTATGGGAATATTGGGTGGGGTATTAAAAGAAATGAATAGAAAAGAATGTTCTCATGGAGACACACACACATAGTGAGATAACACCATCGTTATCCTTTCATTCTCGGTCGAATAAGGTGAAAGTATTCGTGATTTTAATACATATTATCTCTCTCTCTCTCTATATATATAGAGAGAGAGATATATATATAAGATTGTAATCCAATTAAAAAGTTATCATCTCCGCCTCATCATAAAGCGACCTTTGGCTAATCGGTTTATGGAAAAAGATAAAAGGTGGAGAATTGAAAATTACAACTACACAAAAATTTATTAATCGCCTCAATGATTATTCCCTTTGGTAGTCCTCCAACGGCGTCACAATCCACGGTTCGATAAAATCGGAGCCTTCCTGAAGAATGAAGACCTGTGAGCTGGCCGTTGTAGCAACCAGTATTTGGCCGGAAGGAGCCCATGACAATCGCCAGACTGCCTCATCCATCACAACAACGGAGTTCTCCCAGGAGAGCTGGGCAACCGAAGGATCCGACAGCTCCAAATACAATTGTTCCCATGGCTTGCGATAAATCACAATTTGTTTATCCTTTCCACAAGAGGCAAACATGGCGAAGCGTGATGAGGCAGAAATCTTGCAAAAGGCTACATCGAGGACCCAATCCGAGTGCCCTTCAACCACTTGAAAGAGCTTGAATGTCCGAGAAAGAGTTTTATCATTAGTCCACAGGCGCACTTGGCAATCACATCCACCTGATGCCAAAATAAATTCATCGCCAAAATCAGCCATGACGGGAACAAATGAGACGCACATTGCACCCATGGCATGGGTAATTTTGTTGTTATTGCTGCTAAGTTTAATGCTTTCCTGCCAGAACCCATCCCTGAAGGCAGTCACCGCCACCGTCCCATCGCTACTAGCAGTGGCCAAGAGCAAGCCGAGCTCTTCAGGGCCCCAAGCAACGGAGTTGACACTTTCCTGGTGAATGTCAACAACATGAACGGGATTCCATCTCCCCATCACATCCTTCCATATGATCGCTTTTTGATCAAAACTAGCGGAGGCAAGAACGTGTCCAAAGCGAGGATGCGCCCAATCAACCGCCCACACGGGCCCCTGGTGCCCAGTTAGCGAAGCAATTCGCTGTATAGGCTGCCCTTCTCGTATCAGGTGGATCCCAATGCTTCGGTCGGAGCTAGCGGTTGCCAAAAGCTGACCATAAAAATCGAATTGGGTGTCATGGATTAAGTCAGTGTGACCTTGCACTTGAGCACGCTCAGATGGTTGCAGTTTCATATCCTGTCGTGTGAACTGTGCGGGCGCAAGCGGGCGGGGGTTGTGCATGGAGTTCATTATAACACAGAAAAAGATGTATAACGGTAATTTAAATAAATGACAGATTACCACGTACGCAAGGTATCTACTAATCAATGAACAAAAAAAGACTAAGTAGTGTGAGGGACAAATTGGGTGAGCACTGGAAAATATAACTTAACTGTACCCTAAAGATTCAGTCCATAGATTCATACACTCAAATTCGTTGAGCACAATTTAAGACAAGCACTATATATCACGACTAAATGAATTCACAAAATCTTTGCAGGGCTTGAATTTGCAGATTAAGCCGAGATGCTGTATTTTTTTTCATTATTTTACTTTATAGGTGCTTAGCAAAGGCTTGCACTCATGCAAAAAAGAAAATGGAGAGTAGTGAGGCGAAAAGCAATACCTAAATAAATACTCAGATTTGAAGGCTCTCATTTCGAACTCTGGTTGGGGTTCTTTTTTTCCACCTCTTCATGATCACCCCAAGTCGTTGAAAGCCCCTCAAAAAAATCCCTCAAGGTTTCAGAGCAATCCACTTCTTGGTGAAGCTGTAAAGCATCCACAATTCGATTTGCCCATGAAGGGGATTCGTGCAACATATCGAAATTCACCCCAGAGAGGTTACGCATCGCAGCCATCTCATAAATCGAGTTCATAGCATGCTTGTGTCGTAAGCGCTCACGTTGTAAAATCTGCATACTAAGCGAGTGTGCAACGGTGACAAAATCCACGATGGATCTTTGCCTATCCTCCTTCTTGGGTAGAGCACCAGGGGCTTTTCTTCGTCGCCGCTTCAGGGAACGGTTTTTCCGTGTAATGCAGGAGACGACCCAGTCACGCGCCTTGAAGGGGAGGGGGTAGTCCCCCAAAACGTTTGCGCGACAAATCGCACTCTCGTTCTCGTCACAGACACCCACCTGTAGGGCAGGAATACACGCAATATTCCCACCGAGGGCCTCGCGTTTGCGAAGCCAGTACTCGTGGACTTCGGTGATCACCGTACTCGAGGCGTCCACACCCTCAAGGTAAAGTCTGTTTAAACTTACTAGCCGTTCGAGGGAGATCTCAGGATTGCAAAAGGCTGCAAGCTCGAAAGCAGTGATAATATCTTCAAATAAAGAAATCGTGAGATCGGAGTCAATTCTGGGTGCCGATCCAAGTTGACCCGTTTTGCCTCGTACTACTCCATCTTTGGAGGTGTGGCCCTCCTGATGGCCCTCCATAAAACGATGAGCGAGCCAGCGGCGATCGAATTGATCGGCGATATACCGCACCGGGACTTTTAGGACGGTGTTTGCCCGGTAATTGGAAGCCAAGAAAGAGTCCACGGGTAGTTTGAATCCCTCCACATCCTCCAGTGCGGCATTCCACTCCGCTCGATGTCGCACCCTTGGACGAACAATGGAGGCGGCGGCGGTGCTGCTGCTTCCGCCCGGGGTTTGCGGCTGCGCCCCCGGGCTCGCGGCCTTGTGGGGGGGAGGGTGAAACCCCAGTGTGGGGCGAGGGGAGTCGGACGAAAAAACACCGCACGGGCTGAAGGTCTGTTCGACATTAACGATGAGGGGAGTCAGCTCCTGGCTCGATTGCAGCCTGGACTCATACATGACAAGAATGCGGGGTGCCGACCCCCCTTTAGTATAAACGACTGGGGGTGGGTAAGTGGGTTACTGTGAGGCTTCTACGAATGATAAAAAGATGGAAAAAGAAAACGATAGGAGTAATTGATTCAAGATAGGGGCCCCTCACCACTATCGCGATTCGAATGCCAAAGTTACGTGTTGGGTCGCCTTCAAGAAAGACTAAACATCTGAGAAGCGGATGTTAAACTGTTGAATTCAATTGGGTCTCATGATTTCTCTTAGCGAACCACTACAAATCCAAAAAACATCAAGAAAAAGAAGATGACGGCAAATATTTTGAGGATGAGTCCACGGTTTGAACTGATACTGGTGAGATAACGCATCAACTCATTGGTGCCAACATTTACATTGTCGAGCGCCGACCCAACATCGCTGTCAATGCGAAGGATAACTTCATCCTGCTCATGAACCAAACGCGTAAAGTCCTTGAATAGCTCACCAACTTCAGCGACCGCTGATTCAATTTCAGATACTGCCTCTGCGCGCTGTTGGTAGTATTGGGCATTTCCCATCCCTACGGCAAGTTGCATCTGGGAATGCTGCTCTTGGTCTTGGAACAACGCACTCTCAAATGTTTGTGGTCGGTCAACGGCTGTGAAAAATTGACGACGCGATGCGTTTGTTTTGATATTCATCGACTGGTGCTGCAGCGTGCTCCGGAACTGCTGTCCAGTACGAGCAAGGCGGTTTTTCAGCGTGTCTACCACCACATCACTATGCTTTTGAGAGGTCTGTAAATGACTGGCGGCACCGCCGCTAAAGAATCGATCGTTTTCAAAGGCGTTGGAGTGTTGCCCATTTTTTTGAGAGTCTATGGATCGTTTCTTTAACTCCTCCAGTGTATATAAATCGTTGTGCAGGCGCTGAAGAGAAGCCTTTACGACTTGCGTAAGAGTACTAATTTCAGATGACTGATCATCAAACACGTTTTGCCTACTTATAAGTTTGGTTAAACGACCAATGGAGTCAGAAATATTTGCTATATCCATTGAAAAGGCCTGTGCATAACGATTGAATCTTTCGACTTCATTGTTCTGCGGTGCACGAGCATCGGACTTACCATGTGTGGAACCCTTAGACGTGGAGGATTGCCTTAAAGTGTCGAAAAGCACATAGAGCTCTTGGGAACGATCGCGCTCAACCACCATTTTTCACCCCTTCTAGTGTTTTTTAGCTTGATTAGCGACTTTTTGTTCTTTCCCCTACCGCTTACAATGAAATATAAATCAACCTAATCTAAAAGCAACCCCAAAACGTCCTAGGATAAAGTGAAAATAAATAGGGGAAAGACAACTACTGCATGCGTCATGATCTACCCCCTCTCCCCATTAAAATGCCATTTTTTTTTTGCGCGTTCTCCTTAGAATAACATCTCTTGAGTAGAATCCTTCAAGAGGAGGACGAACTATTATCGTCGTCATCGGTACTACTGGTTTCCGTTTCTTCTCTAATACGCTTCCTTTTTTCCGATGTGTCGCCTTTTGAAATTGAGGAGAAGGGATTAAGCCAAGCCTGAATTTCATTTTCTGCATTTGCGATGTTTCGCACAAACAACAGCCTCTCGACACCATTACTCAATCCTCCTTGGGCTTCGTGTGTGGTCAAATTTGCAATTATGAAGCGTTTAGAATATTGGTTCGTATTGAGACGCAAAAGCATTTCAAATGCCGCGGCATCTCGGCACGATAGAAGTGCACCCTTTTCAGCCATAACGCCATCAAGACTTCTTGCGAGGTTCGCAAACGAGGCTTGATGATGCATCATCCTTTTTTGAACCTAGTCGCAACACCTTTTTTTTTCACTACGAAGCCTACGCCCGATAGAGAAAAGAAAACTACGTTCGTTAAGATAATTCAATTTTAAGATAAAGAAGGCAAGCAAAATACATAAGCCATATTATAGTCAGTCAATAGGACACAGCTAGCTAAACACGTTTCTTGGAACACACTCATGCCCCTTTGCACTTTCCCTCACGATACAAATATAGAATATACAAATCGTTTAAAGTAATGTAGAGATAATGAGCTGATGTTCATTTGAAGGTATTTTACATCTGGCAAAAGGCTTTTGTTTCTTCTGCAGCAATCGCACGAAAGGCAACATGACTTTCTTGCATTATGAAGGTCCGTTGACGGAATTCTTCTGAACAAAGACGGCTGAATTCCTCTCGCCCAAGTGGATGATTCAACAATTCATGCCTATCTTGAGCACGTTGGTTGGCTTTTACCCCATTGACGCCGTAATCATTAAAGGTCACAGCAAGAAGAAACTGCTGTCTTTGAATCGCAAGACGAGCTTCTTTCTCTTCGATCTGAAGCAATAACAATGCGTCAGATTTTCTATCAAAATGTTGCGTAGTATGGCTACCGTGAGGCAAAGACTCCTCATTCGTGGCGACGTCAGCCTGTCGCTCCTTCTCTGCTCGCATCGACAATACTCGTTGTTGGACTTCCAAACTCCTCAATATCCTTCTCTCAGCGTCTTCTAACTGTACTAACGTCTTAACTCTTCTGAGGCGTTCCATCACCATACAAGCCTCAAGCATCATATCGAAAAATCGACTTTCTATGAGTCGACGATGAACTTTCTCTTCAGATACCACATCCAAGGTGATGTAGGAAAGTAGCTGCGGCTGAAAACGATGGAGGTCGTAGCCAAAGCAATGCGCAATCGCCCTGAGTTCGTTGGCTTCCGCAGACCCGAGGATCAAACGACATCGCTTCTCGGTTTGCTGCAGGGTGGTCTGCATTCCCACAACCTTTCTAGAATTCGGTGCCTTAAAGGACTCATAGAAACAATTAAAATAGCGTTGTGAGGGTGGAATGGCAGCAGGAGCGGAACACATGGGTAATGATAAAGGGCTTAACTGTGCTAAATGAACTTGATAAACTACCTCCCTCAAGAGTCTACTCGATAGGATTTCACTTAAAATAGGCCAAAACCTTTTTCTTGATGCACCGCACGGATAAGTCTTAATGTGATCCGTGCATTTGTGTCGGTTGGCGACTTGAAATGTACAAAAGAACAGAAAAAAAAAAGGAATGAAATAGAGTTTGTGTAAAGTATAATGCATGGATTTTCTTCTATGGGCATCGATCAAAAAAAAAAAATTGCATAAAATGTAAAAGAACTACATTTATTTTTATTTAAGTCAATTTTAAATAGATGAAACATTTGGACTTTACAAGCTACAATGGGATCTGCGTCACGGTGAGCAGAAAAAGAACTTGTGATGTCAATGATTACCGATAAAGCGACATGAATTAGATAAGCTTACCTATTATTGATTTTATCAAACACCACGCCACGTTAAAGCATAACCAATCCTATATCGGAAGACTGGCGCTTGGGATATGCCCAGTTATAAAAGTAGTAATGAAGCTGTCCATCCCCCTGAGAAAATTTAAGTTGTTCGGCGAAACTTCTATTATCCAAAATATCTACCATGTTACAGACATCGTATTCCTTTTTTTTTGCTATAATAAGTAGATCGAGTATCAGCTGCTGAAGCGGCACTGTTGTGGCCACATAATAAAAGATATAAGCGATCCTGAGCAGATTATACTTGCTGTTTCCGATAATCGTGGATGGTAAGGAGTAGAATGAAAAGAAGTCAGTTACTTCCCCGTTGTGGCAAATAACATAAGTAAACACGATGTCATCTCTTGGTGTAAGATAATGCAGGACCTCCTCCTCGTTGAATACAGGGGCCACGTCAAACCTGTCCAAGTTCGCTTGCAAAAGTTTGGCGACCTGTGGGACATCAGAGGGCTGCATCTCTCGCAGATGCTTCGTCCGTGGCTCGGCTGGCAACTGGAGTAAACGTTTAAGTACCGCCATGGGATTCTGAAAGCGTTGATACTGCGGGCCAATTCCACTAAATTTAATCGCCACAAGTTTCTCGGGGTTCAAACTACGATGATAATATTGACTCGAGCTAAATGGTGTAGGAAGTGTCACCCCGGTGGTATAAATTGCTTGCCAAATGTCCATCCTATTTACACGTCGCGTGATCTCTTTAATCAAGATCGGTGTTAAATGCTTTTCGCGAAGCTGTTTATGCACGCAGAGGAAATTAATTTCACAAATGCGTCGGGGTTTTTCATACAGCTCGACCGCCGTTCCATCGGCCTCAGCCTTTTGTATGGTCGTTTCATGTAAAGATGTCGGGACGCCCATCTTGACAGTTATCGGCACGCCGGAGATGAAGGCCAAGAGCTTTTTGTCGTGCTTCCTTCGAACCCCGACGAGCCAATCCAGAACGTACCCCGGCGGGGTCAAGGCCCAGTTGAGAAACTCTTTGGAGTAGTTGAATCGAAACATACTGTCCTCGTCCTCGACGTAGTTATCCCGCAATAACTCGTAGACCGCCTGTAGCTCTTGAGGGTCCTGAGGGTTCGGCACCCACCACTCAAACGTGCTCGCAATCGGATAGGGCTCGGTTGGGATCTCATCTACCGTTTTCGGTCGATCCATCGGACCGGTGGTGTGGGTGTCATCCGGGGACTGCGGGACGGGCTGCTGGTTCCAAAATTGGTGCGGGGTGTTGGGTTTCTTGGGGTTGGACATGAATACAATCGTCTTCGGTTGATACCCACAAAAATAAAATAAAATAAAACTTTAGGCTATATTT